AAGGAACGGGCAGAAAAAAGATTAAGAACAAGGATAAAGATTAAAAATTAAGAACTGAAAAAAGAACCGAAAAAAACCATAAAATTTTACCAGTTTGGTTACAGTGTTTCGGTATTATAAACTATAAAAAATTTGGATACGGTTTCGGTTTCAGTTCACTAAAAAAAAGGATTTCGAAACGGTTTTCGGTTCAGTCTGGGTCCCTGCTTACAAGTACCATTTTTCAAATAAAAAATATTTTAAATACAGCCCTGGTTCTGATGTACACTACTGTCATAACATATAACACTGAAAATTTATATTATATGTAAACTACAAGATTCCACTAGTAGCAATGTTGATACATTGAATTTAATTATATATTGGACGAGCCAATACATATTTCAGTAAAATTATTAAATAAATCACTGTGTACGTTCTAACGCTTGATACTTGTATGTAAAGGTACCTAAATAGCTAATTGAACTAAGTATTTAAATTTTTACTCACGGCGTAATACTCTGCTACAGCTTTTACTTGTTCATAATCATCGGCTCTTGCTAAGGCTGCCAGTCCATCTGGATTCAAACGTCCACAGCGTGGATATAACTTTGCACGGTCATCTTTACCTAATTCAGTGCCAAATGAATTGATGGTTATAATGATCGCTCTTCTATCTGCTTCAAACTATAAAGATGAAAATGGAGTGCAATTTTACAAAGTAACATTCTCATAATTTTATTGGAACAATATTTTACGGCAAGTATTTCACACATAGTATCTGCAGTTGTACCACCAAGTTCTTTACAAAATTTATAAAACGCTTCCAGATATGCCTTATAGAGCGTGTTTCTAATTATTTCGATATTCATCTCGTCTAAATCTTGTTCAGAAATGCAGTCCACAAAAAAAGGTGCTACAACAAGATATTAATTGTTACTTATAGTTCAGAAAGGTAACTTATATTGTGTAATGCTCATATGTCTATATAATATATATATATATACAATATGATAGGATACGGAATAATATTGTATATAAATGAGAAGTATAATTCCAATACCTAAAGGTGTATCTACCAGTACTGCATTGTACAACTCGGCAGGTGTGGCAGCAACATGAATCGCTTCCATTTGCTCAAAGCTGCCAAGTGGATGACATTTTGGGATCAATTCTGAAATAGGCCGTTGATGCAAAGTACCGGTAATTAACAAAATGATATTGTCGATCATGTAACTGTAAGTGATAAAATCCAAAAATTGAGACAGAGGCTCGACGGAATGATTGCGCATATGCTGAAATTCCACAACCAGTTTCTCCCTCAACTTGTCATCGATCACGCTAACAGAAAGCGGAGATGGCTCGTTGGCCAAAAAGCTACCGTAATCTGTACCAGCCAAGTGTAGCTTCAAATCTAAATAGACAATCGATTAATTTAAGCGAAAAGAAAAAAGAAATTTATTAAAGGGGAACAAAAATCGAATGAAAACTGATTTTTCGTGTGTTTCATAGAAATTTTAGTTTCTTTTTTAATGTTCTTGAAACTATATTTTTTATAAAGTGAAAAATTACACCTTGTAAAAACATTTAATATCTTTTTTAATTAAATATACGTTAGAAACGCTTTGGAAAGATTACATTTGTCGATCGAACAAGTACCTTCGAGTGTTTCGCATTGGACTAGATTCAAGTAATCGCTCTGTTGAAGTATGCCACATTTGAAACCACGACACAAACCCTCCAGGTAACCGCCATCGATATTGAATAGGCACCCCTTCATTTCGAAATACAAATTTCCTCAAAGATGTAACGTAAAAATCCAATGCCAAACTAGATATCGATGCACGTCCACTTCTAAAATCATATGACTGTCATGTCATGATTGGGGGCGCGGCGCATGCACATACACATGTATATGTGTACGCATGCCGTACATGTGTATATATGGCCTTGTTTACATCGTGCACCGGAATCCGGAATACGGGTACTACTACAACTAGTAACTTTCTATTGAATTATCTCAATTTCAGCGATACGTGATACGTGTAAACATATATGTGATATGAGTATTTAATTAATCATTTTGGTGCATATTTTAACGGTTTAGTACATCATTCTTTAAATACATTACTGAAGTTAAGATAATTTAATGGAAAGTTACTAGTTGATACGCGCATCAAGAGTCTCACCATTAGGTCTGTTCGCGTTGCATGAAATCCCCAAATATCTTTGCACTTAAAATGAGATAGATATATATTTGGCTTTGAAAAGAGAGAAAGCGAAGATGCCGAGTGCAAAAAGTGCGAGCAACGTGAACAGACCTATTACCAACTCTGATTAAAGCAGATTAATAGAGATCTGTTCGCGTTGCTTGCACTTTTGGCACTCGACAATCTCGACATCTTCGCTTTCTCTCTTTTTAAGGCAAAATATGTATTTATCTCATTTTAAGTGCAAAAATATTTGGACATTTCATACAACGCGAACAGACCTATCGTTGCATGGCTGTGACAGATTTCCTAACCTATATAATAGTCGTCAACTTTAACGCTTATTATCTCGGTTCGTAGGGCAGAGCAATACTTTTTTCTGCTAGAATCGTTTATTTTGTGCAAAAACGCGTCGAATGTGCCTAATTTCATCGAAATCAGTGAGAAAGGTAGAATTCTTGAGTAAAAACACATTCTTGATAGAATTCTTGAAAAACATTACATGAATCGTTTCTAATTTTGTCTAAATCTCTTCTTTATAGCTGATATATAATTTTTCACCGTAAAGACGTAAACATACCGGTCGAATTGGCTCTGACGACGGAGCGAGAATCATTGTTGTCGAATAGGAAGACCGTATAAACACTAGAAACATGTTACGAATAGTCAAGACCAGAAATTCCAAATGCATCCTCAGTTGCCACTTTTACCTGGCAGTAAATTTCGACAATTTGTTTCACTTCCGGAATGTGTTTAGATATTTCTAGCTAATCTTAAACCCTAGTCATCGCAATATTGAATTACGTAAATATTCGCAAAAATATTCGCTGAAATGGTTCTAACGAAAATATAATATTTCAGTGTGCGCAAGCTTCGACAGAGAGTAACAAAGGATTCTCCGAAAAACTAGCAAAAGGTCCACAATTTGACGACTTTCTCAAAAACAATGTTATAGAGTATAATGGCAAGTTAAAATTAGAGATAGGTGAGTCGGGACGGCTGAAACTGCCGCCATGGCTGAAAAGAGAGATACCTGTGGGAAAGAGTTACAGTAGGATAAAGGCGCAACTGAGGCAATTACGACTAAGTACGGTTTGCGAAGAAGCCAGGTGTCCTAACATCGGGGAATGCTGGGGTGGAAGCACTCACGGTACAGCAACAGCTACTATTATGGTTTGTATAATAAACAAAAGGACACATCAATGTGTGTGTGTGTGTGTGTGTGTGCGCGTGCGCGCGCGCGCGCGCTTCTCGCCTTGATTAAGTAAATTGCATGAAAAATTGGGATTTGATCAATGAGGACAAAAAAAATTTTAGCTCCTATACATATGTTATTCGATTGGTCAAATTTCAATCTTTCAATCTTCAATCTTGTAGCATTTTTTATCAGAGTGGTTTTGCACCGATTTAGATTGGATATTGTTCTATTTATTACTAAACTATTGGTTGATGTTATATGTTTTACTAATAGGAAAACACAATGTCATTAATAATAATCCAATCCAGATTGGTACAAACCCGCTTGGGTCGAATACGCTATCAATCTTCCATGCTTAGTCTGGTTCCAGCCTCAGGAGATTGATGGGAATCATAGTCAATTATTCTTCTCACATTCGACTGTGATTGATCGATTTCTTAAGGCTTATTACACTTACTGTATTTGCAGTGTGAACATAATATTTCATGTGATAATCGACAAGGCTTTTCAAGCCTGTTGATTGGTTGCAAAACAGAGAGATCCGAGAACCTCTCTCTGTTCCACACTCTTAATAATCTCAATCTTAACTGCTGTTGGTTACAATTTACAGTGTGATTGAACAGTCTTCAATCTTAATCTCAAAGTTTCTTTCATCAACCTCAGTTAAGCTGGCGGTTACACGAGGCTTGTTCAGTGGACTCATGTAATCGTCGGTTAACTTAACTGTGAGTGGTGAAAAAGACCCTCAATCTCAATGGTTTATTTGCACACTAGCAATTGCCCACTGCCAGTCAATAATGACTACATTTACACAGCACCCTTAATCGGGTTTAATAATATCCGTAATTATGAAACTGGCGAATCACAGTCGTTCCATTCTTCCGAGGAACAGCTATGATTGGCCACTTTCATAACTACGGATGTCATTAAACCCGATTAAGGATACAGTATAAATATAATCAATAGCGACTTTTGCATAAGGAGTTTTTCCCTTCCCCCCCCCCCCCCCTAACGCTATGATTAGTTTGTGCGCTATTGGTTCGTGTCCAATCGATATACGTCCTTGATTCTCTTAGTTAATGGGAGATACATGCACTCGTGGCTGCCGTTTCTGCTCTGTCAAAACTGCACGTAAACCACCGCCGTTGGATGTAGAGGAGCCCATCAATACCGCTAGTGCAATAGCTGCCTGGAATTTGGATTATATTGTTTTAACATCCGTAGATCGTGATGGTTAGTTACAAATCAATGGTTGTGTTCGGCAGAATGTTTATTTTACAGCTGTTGGAAGTTTTCTTCACCCTGAGTTGGGTTATATCTTCAGATCTAAAAGTATAATTTCCGATCAACACGAAGAAAACCTCCAACAGTTGCAAAATATTCTGCTGAACACAACCAGTCATAGATTATAAAACTAAATTGTACTACTATAGGCCGGTATAGTCGGATCTTATATTTAAGATCGTCTTAAGGGCCGCGACTTTTACTTCTTCGGAAAAGAAGAACTTTAATTGGTTGATTCTTTTATGCACTATTCGTTATGCAAAAGTCTGTGTCGGTCATTAAGATGTCATGAACCAAACAGAAAGCGGTCTTAAAATAAGAAAGGACTATAAATACCGCCCATAGGCCCAGAATTTATTATTAACGCGTCATTTATTATTTCAGATTTAAAGGATGGTGGAGCTAGCCATATTGCATCTACTGTTAAAGAAATAAAAAAGAGGTATTTTATCTGCACAGTTATTTTTTTATTTAATAAAACGAATCAAGCAGTGTTCAAATCATATAGCATTGTAAAAATACTTCATGTTTCATCATAGGAGCAATATATTAGTGGAATGCTTGGTACCAGACTTCAGAGGTGATGAAAATTGCATTGCTACGATGGTAAATTCTAATTTGGATGTGTTTGCACATAATATCGAAACCATAGAGCGTTTAACTCCCTTTGTTCGTGATATGCGCGCTCGATATAGGTATGTATAATGTACCCTTATAATACTTACATGTATAGGATTTTCTGAATTTAAATGCTCAAATCTCAGAAGCGTGTAGGAAATCGATAAACTAAAAAAAAAAGTCCTTTAGAAATATGCTCGTTTTGGAGAAAATTACAGAGACAAAACGTTTCGATTTTTGTACTTATTTATTACTTGTTCATTCACTTATTTATTCACGTTGTCACTTCCTTAATGCAAACATTATTCAAAATGTTGGCCTATTGTAGCAATGCACGCATTGCATCTTGTATGGACAGCCAAACACTGATATGGTCAACATAATGACTCGTCGATCCGACACTCTCTTCTGTCTGGAAATCGGCACGCACTGCCTCTGAAGCGATAATATTTCGTTTTCTGATGAAAACGTTTCTGTTTGTTTACATATCTGCCGTTCTATAAATTCGTCAGTTATCAAAAGCCATCGAGTGAATTACTCCCGTCACGATACACGTGGGCGTACATAATATTCTAACGTCGACATGATTTTCGTGTATGGTTTCTGCGACGATAATGCTAGAGAGGCGGTGCGAGAGTATGCGTGACGATTTCCAAACAGAAAAGTACTGAATCGGCGAGTCATTAACGACGAGACGTTGACTTTTAATAGCTGCGAAAGATCGGCTCATTTTCAATTCAGATCAGCAATCTTTAGAAATTAATATTCCGTCAACACTAGTGCGAAAATTGCAAAATTGTTAAGAGCTTTTTGACTCGGTTTTCATCATAAATAGCGCTATATGATTCGTGAGCGGACTTTAAAAACATCCTATATATATATTCATATATATAATACATAGATATTTATTAATAATACTTACTTTTGTTTTAATTAGAATTAATTTGTCGTTTACTATATACAGACAGTCATTGGCCGTATTAAAAGCAGCTAAAAAGTTAAATCCCAATTTGATTACGAAGTCGTCGATAATGCTGGGGCTAGGTGAAACTGACCAGGAAGTCGAACAAACTATGCAAGATCTAAAGGATGCCGATGTGGATGCTATAACATTGGGACAGTACATGCAACCTACCAAAAGACACTTAAGAGTCATTGAGTATATAACACCTGAGAAATTTAAAGCATGGGAAAATATGGGGAATCAATTAGGCTTCTTGTATACTGCCAGTGGACCGTTAGTTCGGTCATCTTATAAGGCCGGAGAATACTTTTTAACAAATATATTAAAACAACGGAAGAAACAGCAGATTGATGACCATGTTACGTCGTGAATGAAAAATACAGAAGTGTAGATAAATGTTTAATCGAGATACAAGATAGGAAATCAATATAAATAATGAATTCGAAAACATTACGAAAAGAAATCGTCAGAATCTAATGATAAAATGATCCGAATAATAATATATATTACTGTTAATAAACTGATAATAAATGTTCTGTATCGTGTAGCAGATTTACGAAAAAATTGAGATATTTAATCAGAAAATGCAGATTTATATATAAATTGAATGCATATAAAGTTTAAAGTTCATATATACTAATTTAATCTGTGTCCATGGCGATGGCGACTTGAGGATCCTGAGGACCTTCGTCGGCTGGTGGATCTTGCGGAGGTTTGTCATCTTGCACAGCTGGTTCAGTAGGTCTTCCACGTTTATCATCTCCTTCAATCTGGGACAAGAAACTAGCTGTCGTGGTTTCGTTGAGAATAGCAAAATCATAATCCTTTCCTACTATTCCAATTGATACATTCTGAAACATAAGCAAGATTTAATGTCCCCTTTTCAAATCAAAATTGATTCTTAGAATTAAATATTAATAAGATTCTTATAGCAGATATTTTACAATTTACTGCACATACTGCATATAACAATATGCAGTATATAATTTAAATCGGACTCTCAAACTTTACAATAAATATTATTTTTATTGTTATTTATTGAATATGCAGTATGTTTCACAACCACCATACCATATATCACTAGCATATTCTGGAATAAAAAATTCTAATATGAAAATGTCGAGAGATCAAATAATTTTTTAATTATAACCTATGAAAAGCCGTGTAAACGTGGTCTTTGACTATTTAATCGGGTTTAATAATATTCATAGTTGGAAACTAGCCAAAAAAAAACGAAAGAAAATTAAAAATTGTAGTTTTGTCACCGGCTTCTGCAGTCAACTCGTCACAATATGTGCTGCATATAAGAGTTTCAGATTTTACCCGTTTAAAATAAGTAGCCAGCAGCCTACAGAAAATCTCGAAGAACAATTCTATGCTTTTAGAAACGAGGTAGAGACTTTAGTATAAGAGAAAAGAGTCGCCAAAAATTTCGTTCGTACGCTACGAATAAAATTGACGTGAAGCCATGAAACCGAGCAGTATTTTAATTGATCTCTTTCTAAGAAATGGCGTTGCAATATTTTAAATAAGGACAGATGAATGCGTTTGAGCGAGAAAATAAGTATAAGAAATGAAAGATGTCACTATTACCGAATTTGGAATTTAAAAAAGTCTGTACTATCGACCTTGATTAAGTTCGACCGTCATCCTTAAGGGGATGCTGGAGGGACCCAATTATCGACATTGCAGTTTGATCAAAATCTCTGAATTGACTAAATGGAATAAAAAATCCTTTTACAGGATTAAAGTAAACGCAAAATCCTGATGTGGTGCAGTGGATGTTATACTAAAATTGAAAAAAAAAGTAAAAAATTTTTGAACTTCTTTTTATTTTAGTATAAAATCCACTGCACCATGTCAGGATTTTGCATTTACTTTAATCCTGTAGAAGGATTTTTTTATTCCATTTAGTCAATTCGGAGATTTTGATTAAACTGCAATGTCGATAATTGGGTCCCTCCAGCATCCCCTTAATTTTTCGATATCTTTAGATGCCTCAGTAATTTGATGAACAGAGTAATTGGAGGAATCATACTTAAAAAAAAAAAGGTATACCCATGATTTTTATAACCATGGAAAATCGATTTTTTCAAAAATTAATTTTACACTATTTGTGCTGTCAAGCCATACAATTTTTGTCTGAACATATCTTTGATTCAATCTTGTCCTGCAAAGATAAAAGAAATGCTAGACTAAAATTGGACATCTTATATAAATCAGTTAGCTATTAGATCATGGAATGACATATGGCGTTGTGTGAGAACAATTGACTCAATCTGTGAGTCCTGGGTTTGATCCCAATCCTCATTCCATGTAAGCCTTCATTTTATAAATTTATTGAAAAATTAAAGATCATAAATCGTATGAAGGAGCATGAGATGACAATGATATACTTCATTCCGAAAATCTATTTTAATAAGATATGAGTTAAGTCGAGTCTATACTTACTTTCACTGATAAATCAACTTCGTTAGGTAAAGTATCACGTAATGCTCTAAGGCCATGCTTGACTAATTCGTCAAGGTCGCACGACAAGAATTCATTTAGGTGTTTTTCTAAATATGTCCTTGCGCTTTGGGAACGTGCTCCTATGGCCATCGCTTTACAGTCAAAGTAATTTGCAGATGGACATGTCTGATATATATGCGGTCCTTTGTCCTAGAAAGCGACTATTATTAGAGAAATATGTTTAGCATATACTGAATTATACACTATTTTCAATAAATTCTCACATCATATCCAGCTACGAGTAAACCAACGCCATATGGGCGTCGATCATATCTTTGCGTACACGTTTGCATTTTATTTCCCAGAGATGTAATCAGACGACTTACAGGTAACGCATGGTCATGAGCATACTTATAATTCAGGCATTCAGTTCGCATATAACGACTGCGAAAAATAATTTGCTTTTAACCGTCATTATGCCTATTTAAACACCTTGTATTCTTAAGGTTCCTCTACATAGAAGTCGTAGATGGTCATGGAGTCTTAAGTCGTAGGAAACCAACCAATCACAATCAAATATAAGGAGAATACTCAATTAGAACTGATCAGTGTCCTACAACTTAAGACTCCATGACAGTCTACGACTTCTATGTAGAGGACCCTTTACTCTCTCATGCACAAATATTTTAAACACCTATATTTTAAAATAACTTAAACAGAAGAAACCAATAAATTGCATAATGTAACAAGATAACAGACGTTAAACTCTATTCGTGGCAAAATACAATAAATATAGCATAGTGGTAGCAAACTTTACTATTTTTATTAGCGAAAGGATTAAGACACAATTAAAACAGATATCTTATTACACACAAGGATATTGTATCTTTTAATAGAAATGGAGAATGGAATGGGAAAATCAGCAAACACAAAGTACCTCAATATTCTTGCATCAGCTGTTAAACCTGAGATACTAATTCCCATGTGTTTGTCTATCGGTATGATTTTTTTCTGATGAGCTGATAATTCCGAAGATGCTCTTTTCAATGCAATAAGAACGGCGTGTGCTTTACTCTTAAGACCTACAGTAGCTGATCCTAGTTTCACAGCTTCCATAGCATATTCCACTTGATGTAGTCGTCCTTGTGGACTCCATACTGTCACATCACTATCGTACTGATTACGGAACTAAGAAACATATTCCATAATCGAAAAATTAATAGAAATCATTTACATATTTAAAATCAATTAACACACGTAATGTGTGTATGTTAATCATTAAATATTATTCAATCTAAACAATGAACAACGTTACATACATTTTTCATATGGTTAGACTATACTTTTTCTCTATGTCCTTAAGCAATAGTTGTGTATTTCTATATTACTAAGTGCAAATATACATAACCATAGGCCTGTTCCTTTTGGCTGAACTTTTGCACCAGTTCGATTTTCTTTCTTTTCTATCCGGGAGGAAAGAAGAGGAAGAAAGATGAACTGGTGCAAAAGTTCAGCCAAAAAAAAACCAGGCCTCATAAAAATAATAGTTTCGAGATCAATAACTTCTTTACAATGATGATTAAAATAGAAGTATCGAAGCATAATGTACCGATAATTAATTGAATACTTACCATTCTTAATATTAATCCCCTTAATTCGAAAGATACAGATTACAGTATTATTCGATCAAACACGGAAATTTCGTGAATCAACAAAAAGATACAGGCAATGATGTGCAATACTGATACTGACAACTACCATCGACTACGCAATGCATTGTATGTACAGCATAGAGGTAGAAACCGAGGATGCCAAATTGCCAATCGGGGACGATGGACGATTAGAGGCCTAGATAACAGAGACGCGACATTGAAGGGTATGATCTGATTGGCTGTCTAAACACGTGATCAGGGCGCCATTTTAATTCATTACTGCGTATATTTAGAGTCCTAGGACTCTACTAGAGTCCTAGATTTATCAGAGAGACGCAACCGGCTCAAGTCAGTATGACAAAGGTGCTAAGGAGAGTACTAAACATGGCCGACATGCTATGAAACTGCCTTTAAACTATGTCAAACAAGATAAGACGTGTAGGATAATGTGAGATAGAATGTATAGGATAAAATGAAATAGAAATATGTCACTAGTACTATAGATGGCTGCCAAGTCACGCAATTGATCAGATTGAAACAGCAAATCAGAATGCACAACACCGGTTGCGCCTCTCCGATAAATCTAGGACTCTACATCAACCTAATAAGATACCTTTTCATACCGACGCTCGACGCTCATTTTTGTCGTCAAAATAAGTCACGTGATAGAAATTGGAGAATATCAAGCGTCAATATTGATCACGTGACCTATTTTGACGCTGAAAATGAGCGTCGAGCGTCAACATGAAAAGGCACCTAACTTTTTATTGGCTGCGTTCGAGGAGCGCGCTATCAACGCTACTTGTGTCATACTATCCTTGTTTCACATTTAATGGACGATGAAGATAGAATGACACAATAGCGCTAATAACGTCTTCCCGAACCCAGCCATAATACATACCGTAGTCTGAAAGAAAATGGCGCTGAATCAGGTGATTTAGCGAGCCAATCAGACCATTTTCTCACCTGTTGCCTCTCTGATTTCTAGAACTCTAGGGCTGCGTTCAGAAATATCACCCGAGTGCCCACGAGTATCGTATTATCTTTGTTGTTCACTCAGTCTTAAACAAGGATAAGATAATACACGGAGACACCCGGGTGATGTTTTTGAACGCAGCCTAGCAGGTGCCATTCACATGCAAATTGATGCAAACGTCAAGTAGCGGAAGTGAGAGGAACGCACGGAAGCAGCAACCAATCAGCTGGGCGATACGGGCAGTGATGTAAAAAAATATTTTTTACGCCACTAGGTTCGTCGTGTCGCATGTGGTTGAGTATGCTCGTCTATTCACGTTTATTAATTGAACGCAACCATTCACAGTAAATTAAAGTAAATATCCGAAAATAACCTCTACAATTTCGGTGAAAATTTGTTTTATAACATTGTTTATATATTAGCGCTAAAAATGTCTTATAAAGCACATTTGGATATGGAGATACGAAAATTGAGGCCCGCTGAGTTATATACTTTAGGAAGTATATTAAGCATTTCCAATTCATGGAAGAAACTAATGTCTATTGTGCTTAAAGAAGAAAATGTTCCTAAATTTAGTAGCGATCATATCAGGTGACTCTCTTATAAGATATTTCAATAGATACCAAGTTTAGATAATTTTTTGCCTTACATGTTTATCAAACTATCCAGTTTACTGTACAGTAAACCGGATATTTTAAAAGCCCATCGAAATTGAAAGATACTTCAGTATGCTTTTTTGTTAGCATTATGAAAAGATTTTTAGAAATTAAATGCATTATATATTTTTCTTAAGATTATTATTAAAAATAACAATTATTTTAATTGTTACATTATAATACATTGTAATCATTCCATGATTAGCATCATTGAACAAATGGCAAGTAGCGATAAACGCAACGCAGCTCAAATATTTTTGGATGAGTGGAGTACTATGGAGAAAAAGAGACCAACATTGAAATTATTACAAGAACTTCTTGTAAAAGCAGAGCTATTTAGAGCTGCTGATTATGTGGCATGTGATATATTAAAACGTAAAGTTTATAATTATATATGTACAAAACTTTTTTTATTTTTTTTAGAGTTTAATGATTTTTTCTTATTATATATTCTATTTGCGTTACAGAGGAAAAACCAAAGAGGCCAGATTATGGTCCAGCTCATTCTATCGATACAAGTGATACAGTCATAAATAAACTACTAGATAATCAAATGTTTCCACAAGATACATTTGCTAATCGTACGATATTAGAACCGACGTCAGAGCTGATTTCAGAGAATAATATAATATGTTCCTCTGAAAAACCTGTAGCTGTACTGGCAATACAAAATTATAGATGCGAGGAATTATCGTCTGAAGAACTGCCAGTAGTTCTTAACAACTATAAATAACTTGCAAAAGCAGTGCTTAATGTTTATTTAAACTAAAATAATGTTTGTGAAATTAATCTAGGTTTATAATTTGTAAAAATACTAAAAATAAATATGGTAATTATTTAGAATACGGACTGCATCTTCAATTTTGATAAAATTAGGCTCATTCAACGCGTTTTTGCTCAAAATTAAAGAATCTGGCAAAAAAAAGCTGCGGTCTGCCCCGTGAACAGTGATATTAAGTGTTAAAGTCGACGACAATTTAGGTTCGGAAATCTATCGTGCTAACGAGATGCAGCGCTATGTATGTATATTTTGGTCACACGCGCGGTATTCGTCTTTTTATTCTACATATGCTCCTGCCCTAATTTCGAGCATACAACGTGCATATAATTTTTTTACGAAGTAAATGTTTGGTGAGCTGATGGGGATACAGAAATCTGTAATTTATTATTTTTCTCAGCTTTGGACACAAAACACACCAGGAGCAGGTACATTAGCACGGATATTTCAATAGTGGAGAAGGAATTTTTATTCTGTGCAACTAAATCGTAGAATATTGCATTTAACATAAACGCTTGCTTTATCGGTAAAAAAGAAGACTCCAGCATCTCATTAATAACGTCAAAATTAAGCCGGCGGCACACGATGCTTGTTTTCTTGTTGGATTGTTAGCTGGATTAGATTCTTGCCACCGTATTGGCTGCGATGCTGGCACTGTCAGCATCGCAGCCAATACCATGGCAAGAATCTAATCCAGCTAGCAATCCAGTAAGAAAACAAGCATCTGTGTGCTGCTGGCTTTATATAAGGAAATTTGTTTTCGAAGTACAGATTTTGTGTTTATATTTTTGTAAAGCAGAGAAAATGATTGTGAATGAATGACTGTGAATTATGATATTAAAAACAAGTACCTTTTTATATGAATTGGAATTAAAATTAACATTTTTTTAAGTAGAGAATTTGTTTTTAAAGCAGAAAATATTATTCTAAAAAACTGCTATTTTATCCTTTATTGTTATTTTTCTGTTATGTGTTCCCTTGCCGAAAGAGCCAGCAAATCGCGGGTATACTACCTCTCTTTGTCGTACAATCAAGTTAGAAAGTTTTTAAGTACCGGTAAATAAGGATAGAGTGAGATGTACGAGTGATTTAAAACCAAAGCGTCGTATGAATAAAATAAATTACATACAAAGATATACATCGGATGAAGATAATAATTGTAATTTATTGATATAAGAGTCATATCAGCTAGATATATATAAGACTAAAAAAAAGAAAGTAAATTTAACTTTTGAGTACGAATGTAACGTTATGTTATGCGCATGCGCAGATAGTTGAAAAGAGAAAGGTATACCCGTCAAACTATCTCATGCTATCTCGTTCACGTTTTTCACACTCTTTCAACTAATGCATTAGCACGGCAGTGCATGCTTGTATAATTATTATAATTCAATGGAATAGGAGCCCTGTGCCTCTATTCTGTAACTCGTCAAGACAATTGGTCTGTTTGACTGGCTTACACTTTTTTACACTTAAAATGATATAGATATATATTTGACGCTGAAAAGAGAGAAAGTGAAAATGCTGAGTGTAAAACGTGTAAGCATGTCGGATAGACCTAAGGCCTGTTCTTTTTGGCTGAACTTTTGCCATTAGTTCATTTTTCTTCCTCTTGTTTCCTCTTGGAGAGAAAAGGAAGAAAGAAGAACTGGTGCAAAGGTTCAACCAAAAAGAACAGGCCTCTATTAACGACAACGTTGCGCAGATATTTTATGGTATAAAAAGCTGCGCAACGATGTCGTTACTGTCTTAACGAATCTAAAGTCACTAGATTAACAAAGTACCACGATGAGAATATTCACTGAATTAGCATTTGGAGCCAAAATGGCGTCGAAGTGCTATTCTAATTTGATTCTGTTATTATCGAAAATTCCCGGTTGCTGTGGTTGAAAATTGCAAAAATCGCAGCGAAAGAGTCTGAAGTTTCGAATAACCGCGCGTCATGGAGCCAAAATGGCGACAGTTCGCGGTACTTTGTTAATCTAGGCTACGTTTCATAACTTCCTCTCAGAGGAAAATTTTACTCGAAATACGTACACACTATAGCATATAGAGTAAAATCATCCTCGGAGAGGAAATTTTGGAACATAGCCCTAGTTAATTTAAACGGATCTTACAGCGAATAGGGGCCTCTATTCTTGAAAAGAAACGTGTGCGAAAAGCTAGGGAAATACTATAGCATACTTTAAGCTCTGCGCGCACAATAGAAGGAATAATGGCTTCTGCATACTGGATGCGGAAACACTTGCCGCGCGGCAAAATGTAATGCCTCCGGCACACCAACGCGATGTTCGTCGCGCGCGACACGCGATATTCAATAAGTGTACAGCTTTATGGTTACTGCACACTGGACGCGACGAGCGATATCCAATGAGAGGTTTGCTTTGCGTCGTCACGTGAGAAAAAGCAGAGTTTTTATTGGATATCGCTCGTCGCTCATCGTTCATCGCGTCCAGTGTGCAGTAACCATTACCGATATTCTCATTCTAAAGGTACACTCTCATTGGATATCGCGTGTCGCGCGCGGCGAACGTCGTGCTGGTGTGCCGGAGCCATAATGCTGTAGCCAATGAGCTTATGGCTTCTGCACACTGGAGACGCGGTAACCTATGAATACGTTAGGAGTGTAAGCTTATTGGCTACCGCATCACATTTTGTCGATCGGCATGCGTTTCCGCGTCCAGTGTGCAGCAGCCGTTACAGCTCCTAATGTGTTCATTGGTTACCGCGTCTCATTTCGCCGCGCGGCAAGCGTTACCACGTCCAGTGTGCAGGAGCCATAAGGAATTAGGAATGAAAAATAAACGATTTTAACCTATCAGAGATCGGATACATCGGAATACACGGAATACACGGAATACACGGTTTCTGAGAGGTTGAAATCATTTATTCTTTATTCATAATTCCTTATTCCTTCTATTGTGCGTAACAGCTACATGAAAATGCACCTTTAACGTCAGACGTCAGCGATGGTCAGCGTCAGCAGCAATCGTTATTCGTTAGTGATCGTTAGTAGTAACCAGTAACCAGTAACGCTTGGAAAGGTTCGGTGACGCTCTCGCTTTTTGAAAAGGAAATTCGCCACTGACTTTAATTTAACAATAATGGGTCACGAAGGAGAGGTTACTCTTATTCAGAATTCTGTAAGTAGTATTATACTGGTATTACTACATTAAGAATTTAATCACCCGTGTCCGCGTGGAATAGGATGTATATCCTCAATCAATGCTTGTAGTTTATACAGATGTGTGAGATAAGGTAACCTTGAGTGTACCGTGTACGTCGCACACACGCGCATAGTAGCGAACGGTTGCGATGCGGATTGCGGTGGCGTTCCGTCTCCGTCCTGCAAATATGCAATGTTGCCAGAACCTGGGAGAAAAGCAAAAAAGTATTTACTGTATAATACCAATTTGAAGAAATAATGGTGCACATATGTTGCGCTTCTCCGACAAAGTAATATTGTACGATTACGTGGACTTTTATTTCTAAAACAAATCAAAATTCAGATTTATAAATTAAGTTAATAATTAGAAATCGAACACCGACGGAAAACACGAACGACACGTACGTAACATCGTTTCCTTATCGCAAAGCAAAAAGATTTAGATTATTTCCTCAAAACTACATGGTTACAATTTACAGTTACAGTAGACTATGCCGCAGGTTATATACCATATAAATATTCCAACATGAGACACATCTTTTACACTTGTCGCATATTATATTTGTTCGTGAAATCTATATACTTCGGTTTCAGTTCTCGACCTTGAAAACGATCGATCCCGCATTGCGTTATTACGCGAGATTGTTTTTTTTTGTTACAACTATAATACGAAAGCGCGAATTCAAGCGAAAAGACTTTAATTAAAGTGTCTTTCACATTTTTAACGTTTGCAACGCTCGCGGATATAATTTCGTCCTTGTTTATCAAATGTTAAGGACGAAATGATGCATACGAGTGTTTAATGCTTGTAAGTGGAGATGGATGATTCGTTCAATATTACGTCAATCGTGAACGATTTTAATTGCGTCACCATTTAATCGCAAAGACTTGAATCATCGAATCGAAGTAGGTAAAATAACGGGTGTGCGTAATGTGGTTACGTCGCATGCCTACTTTTTCCTGAATAATTAAGCACATTTGCCGATGAGCAAAAAATTGGAAAGTAAAATATTACTTGTTAACCCCTTTTTTTTTATTATCGTTACTTTGGATGCTTTCCATCTAATGATACAAGTAAACACAAGTATCGTTCTGTCTTTGTCACTCACGAAAAGAAAGACAGAATAACGATAATTGTGTCGACTTGTGTCGTTCTAAAATCTTAAATGAAAGGTACCCTTATTGTATTGTTCGCTAACGCAATCGTTACTTAAATCCTTTAACTTTATAATTATTCAATAAATAGCATTATTGTTTTATGTATATAATTGGCTAGAAATATTTTTTTTTATAATAGAAATAGTCTTGTACTTTATGCCTTGTTAAGCTGTATTTCAATATTCGCTGCTAATATTGAAAATCTGTATAGATATATGTGTAAAATGAATTATACATATATTTTCAATACTGGCAGTGAATATTAGAATACACTTTTATAATAAGGTCATTAATGTTGAAAAACAATGTTTAATAAAGATTTTTAATACACTCTACGAGTTTGTAGAGTATAATTTAATTTCCTAAAGATAAAAGCATATGTTAAAAAATAAAAAATATTGATATAGATAATTATCGTAGATTTGGTTAATATAAGTGTAATATACAAGAAAAATCGTATTTTAACATCCAAAAAAAAGTAATGAAAAAAGTAATAAATCGTTAAGTTTTTAAGCACTGACGCGCACCGATGATGAGGTATATTGCTAACAAGTACTTTCCATGATAACTTTATCCAAGAGATATCTCCCAGAATACAATGGAGATATCTCCTGGATAAGATTATCCGCAACTTATCTGGAAGTGAAGAAATTGGGCATTAGTGACACAAGTCGTCAAATGTTCTATCTTTTTTGCATTTCGTGAGTAGCGAAGACGGAACAATACTTGTGGCGACTTGTGTCACTAAATGGAAGACGTCAAGGACGGCCGGCCAAAGGCAAATTGTTGTGACTATCAAAAAAGTTCCGGTAACTTATTTCGAACATATACATACATAGGTCGATTATCTCGGAAAATATGAAAAATACGGAAAAATGATTCAGATAAAAGTTCATATCTGAAAAGACGTAAATATTGGTAAAACTAATTTTTGAAAATTATCAATTTTTTAAGGTCATATGTACAATATCACTATTTTTTTAATTAAAATTATGTAATCTTTTTATTATATATAATATAATTTCTCTGATTATTCCGCATATAAAAGTATTAAAGTACAGTTATCGAAAAATCAATAGTTTTCAAGTTATTTTATACTTTATTCCGGCACGTATTGACATGTGAAGTGTCAAGTATTTCATAAACTGTTAATTTCTTTTATAATAGTACCTTAATACTGCAAGTACCTTAATATGCACAGAGTAATGAAATGAATCAATTGATATGAAGAAAATACATAGCTGCTTATATTTAAAAAATTATGCATTTTCATACATATCTTTTTAAAGCAACCATGTTTTCTCAACACCAATCGATTTATCTCCTTGTTCTGTGTATAAAAGTATTAAAGGTACGATTATAAAAAAAATGAGTAGTTTATGAGATATTTAATCGTGTCGATATGTGCCAAAATAAATAAATACGTTTATGAGCTGAAAGAAGAAAAAAATGTTATACATATAAATGTACATAGGTCTTCAAATGCTTCATTAAAAAGTTATAACAAAAATATAAAATTTGTAAAGAAAACAATTTTACCTAAGTTTGCATTTCAAATTGCCATCCGCTCAAGTCAATACAAGCTTGGCATGGATATAATGTTGAATTTATCACTTTTTTACGACGATAAAGGAAACATTTCTAAAAAGATATATTTCGGACTTCCTTTCCATGTAGATTTACTAACGAAAGTTCATTGAAGTCTGTAGATATACAGGGTGTTCGGAAATTCGATCGACAACACTCGTGGGCAGGTAGAACGCACTAAACTAATTCGAAAAGTTCTCTACTAGTAAAATTGATAGTGATTTGAGAAAAAAATTATTAAAGATCAACATTCGGCAATTTTTAATTATTAATACCTTGTTAACTCTATTGCGAAAATTGCAAAATGGTAGAGAACTTTTCGACTCAGTTTAGTCCGCTCTACTTGCCCACAAGTGTTGTCGGTTGAATTTCCGAACACCCTGTATGTGTGTGTGCGTGTGTATACATATATATATATATATATAGAGCTATCTTCCTATTAGACGAATAAACATTTGTATTACAATTTTTATTTGTATTATTATTTACGTTCATTTAATAAATATGTGTATTATTATCATTGAATAACAATTTTAGTTATAATAATTTTTCTCGCGTCTTTCCATCTCATTTAACTCTGTCATATGATACTTTAAGCAATGCATTTCTCTCAATTTAATGTACTTTCTATTCACATCAATTAATAAATATATATTCCAGAAAGGAACTGATATGATATTCATTTTTTTAATAGGATGACTTGCAGATTAAACTTAAAGACGCAGGCAATAATTTGGTGGTTATCGATTTCTTTGCTGTATGGTGTGGACCATGTAAAATGATTGGACCATTGATTGAAGAATTGTCAAAGGTTTTATATATACCACATTAATTTTTTATTAAATCAAGTTTCTATGGATTTATTGAAATTCAAAACACGAATATCTTGATTTGTTTATATAGGAAATGCTGGATGTTGTTTTCCTTAAAGTTGATGTGGACGAATGTGAAGATATTGCTGCTGAATATGAGATATCTAGTATGCCTACGTTTGTTTTTATAAAGGAAGGCAAAGTGGTATGTATTAAATTCGAATCAAATATTTATCTAAATATTAAAAATTCTCGCTTTAATATTATAAAAAGAAATAATGAAGTAATTCAGCTATTTATAAGATTTTTTTATTCGGACCGACAAGAATTAAACACTAAGTATAAGCGTATTCAGGCCTATGACGGTCAAAGCTAGATCTTTTTTGCCTAAATAATTCCCAGTGAATTATCTATATCCTATATATGTACGTGCATATATATCATTTTTGTAGTTATTTAAACTGCACGCCGAAATTTTTCCGGACTTTATCTGACGTAATTAAACTACTGCAATAATATCACAAGTTAAATTAAATTGACAATGCGCTGAAAACCTTAAATAAATTTATTGCGAAAAATATTACCTCGGCCGGGACTTGAACCCGGATCTCTTGTATCCCGTACGAGCGTCCTAAGACATTAGACCACCGGGGCCTCGGTATTATTTTTCGCAATAAATTTATTTAAGGTTTTCAGCACATTGTCAATTTAATTTAACTTGTGATATTATTGCAGTAGTTTAATTGCATTAGATAAAGTCCGGAAAAATTTCGGCGCGCTGTTTGAATAACTACAAAAATATGATATACATATATGCATGTACATATATAGGATATAGATAATTCACTGGGAATTATTTAGGCAAAAAAGATCTAGCTTTGACCGTCATAGGCCTGAATATGCTTATACTTAGTGTTTAGCTATTTATATTTCATAACTAATCAAATAAAATCGTTAATGCTTTCAGTTGGAGACTTTTTCCGGTGCAAATTACGATAAATTAAAAAATACAATCCAAAAACACAAATAAATAAATTAATCGTCACGATTGTTTAAATATATTGTATTCTTAAAAACTGTAAAAATGATATACTGGATTAGCTATATAATTACTATTTTACATAAATAATATAGAATGGCTATTTAAATAGAAAAAATAATTTGCATTGTTTACATATTGTACACGCATTTTAATTGAAAAAGATTGAAGCAGCATTATTTTTCAATAATGAAAAAATTTCTATGGATTTTGTTGCTAAAATGTATGATGAACTTACAAATATATACGATATAATTATGAATCACAATGTGAACATCGAATTTTATTATTTTTACATGTTGTACAATGATGGTAAAATAGAAAATGCCCCAGTTCCAGATTTGCACGGTTGTCCTAACATCAATCTACTCGAAGGTGATAATATATCATCTTTTTTTCCTATAAATGATAAGAGATAAGTAAGTAATGTGCATACAAATAAATATACATGTGTGCATGTATGTATAATCAATTTAATCGAAGAAATATGAGAGTAGTAATGTCATTTATATCTTTAATAGAAATAATTTTTTTCATCTAATTTTTCTTTAACCAATAACATTTTCTCATTATATATTATTATTACAAGCATATAAAAATATTTAAGTAAATTAATCAAAATATTAATAGTTTAAAAGAGATATCCTATATACAAGGTGTCTGATAATTGTTCTGATAAGAGTTGTGGACATGTAGAGCGGACTAAACCGAGACGGAAAGTCCTCTACCATTTTGCAATTTTCGCAATAGTTAACAAGATATTAATTGCTAAAAATTGCTGAAAATTGGTCTTTAACAATTTTTTACTCAAATACTATCAACTTTATAGAAAAACTGGAAAGAAAATCTTCTCATAGAGCTCTAGAATTTTTTTAGAATTTTTTCAGAATTTTTTAATACTGTATTTTCTCATGTTAAAAATGAGAAAATGCATTACACTAAAAAGTTGATAAAAAATTCTGAAAAAATTCTTAGAGTTCTATGAGAAGAAAATAAATAATTTTTCTCTTGCAGTTTTTCTGTAAAGTATATTGATAGTATTTGAGTAAAAAATTATTGAAGACCAATTTTCGGCAATTAATATCTTGTTACTATTGCGAAAATTGCAAAATGGTAGAGGACTTTTTTCCGTCTCAGTTTAGTCCGCTCTACATGTCCACGAACTCTGTCAGAACAATTATCAGACACCCTGTATAATTTTGACGCGTTTTAACATAAAATATGAAACATGTACAATAAGTATCTGAGCTTAAAAACAGCAAATAATTTAGCTTATAATAGTTTTATACAGCAAAATGACCATTGCTGCAATTTTAGGTCAATAACTTTTAAATATGTAAGTGAGAACAAATAAGCTTTTGCACGAATATTTATTATTACTTTACATCAGTATATGTATAAAATTTGATTTAATTTTTAACATTATTTCTTCATTGCAAATATTAAAATATTTTACATAAGCATCAAGACAAAAAAAATAAATAATTTTTAAATCAATAAAAGAATTGTACTTAAATTTTACACAATACTCAGACGTAATAATAGAATAATCTATGAGATTTTCATATTTTTCGTAGTTTTCAGATGTGACATACATCCTTAATAAGCTTGCGATGTACATGTGCATTAATTTTTTAATTTTTGATATTTTTGTATAAATAAAATAGTGTTTTCTTTTGGCTGCACTAGTGGATGTTACTGTTAAAGCCGTCGTACGGATTAAACCATGAAATCCTCAATACATTTTATAGTGCTGTTAAGTAAAATCTGCATTTTATGATTCAAAATATTTGAATTTTACTTCTACATAATTTAAATCAATGTACAATAGCTTTAATATGCACTCAGTGTGGACTAATACAACCAAAAGAAAACGGTATTAAACAAAAATATCCATATAAAGGCTATGCGATTCAGTAATAGTCGCTACTTATTGTTAATAGGAGAAACAAAGACCAGGCCTCGATTCGAGCTCTCCTGGCAATGCCCAGAAGTGTCCCGATCTTTTACTCATGTTACATTATGATCTCTTTGAAAATCTTAGTCTCGGTCCACAACTTTGCTTTAAGAGGCCTTAAGTTATAAATCGAAACAGATTAAGTGACAATAATTTCTGTCTTTAAACTATTTTTGCGCAGTCTTTTTTTAGCTCGGATCTACAATAGGTACTTTAATCCATAAGAAATGGACGAGTCATAGTCAATTATTCTTCTCGCATTAAACTGTAATTGGTTAATTTTTTACAGCTCAAGGCTTAAAATACCTATTGTCGATTCGGATTTAGGCTTAACCGTTAGACTTAAGCGAATTGAGTAAAACCCAAGTGTTACGACTTATAAGTTTTGTGGCCGATATATCGTCAGTGGCTTAGTTTCCACCGAGGATTTAAACCAGATCAGAATGTAAGAACCAACCAATCACAGTCGAGTATTCCCCTGTTACAGTCGAACGAAAGAGGAATGCTCGACTGTAGTTGGTTAGTTCTTACATTCTGATCCGGTTTCAACCCTCGGTGAAAGCTGCTAGGCCACTTACAACTTACGTCTTATGATCTCTTAAAGCAAGGTTGTGGACTTAACCTTATGGACAAGTATACTATTTAGTAGGTGGACTTAAATTAAAGTTGAGTTATTTTACTTTCGATGATTGAGAGTAATCTTTACCTAACTTTCTCATTTATAATAATTCGAAAGTTATACATCTTCTGAGTCGTGTCGTTTTTGAAGGGTATGAATTAAATAATTTTATTTTATATTGAAAACAAATACTTTTCAAACTCATATGTATGAAGTTTTTTTTATGTATATATTGAATGCAATGTTTTGAATATTTCGTATTTTTAAAATTTAGCAATAATTTTTCGCATAATCTAGCTGTAATAATTTTTTCTAAATATAACTCACCTTGCAGTGTCGCCGTTTTTAAAAAGCCTAGCGAACTTTCGAAACTTATTTGCTGTAATGGCGAAGCAGAATTCTCCATTCCTTTTCGACTGAGTGGTTTGAACGTACCATCGAAGGTCATATAATCTGCGATTAAGGACAGATGTCTTAAATCAACGGTGATGCCATACATCTTGAAGACATCTTTAATTTCTCTTACAATAACTCGATTTGCGGCTTCAATTCCATATGTTTGAGAAATATTATAAATGTCGTTAGAATATAATCTGTTTAAATCAAGTATGTTATCATACTTGAACATTTCCTGCAATGAAAAGAATACAAAAAGTAGAAAAATATACTTTACTTATACTTAAATTGCTTATAATTTGCATTTACCACTATATTTAGACCATCTGTTTTGAGAATCGTTTCGCCTTTACCGTTTTGAAATGTAAAAGCTTTCTTAATACATTTTGTTTCCCATAAGACAGTTTTATTCGCAGCATTCCTAATTATTGTTGGCAAATCCAATCTGATTGTTTTAAGCGGTAACTGAAAAAGACAGATATGTGTCAAGCCCGATACTCGGGGTCTACAACAGTCCATAATTGCTTAAACGCAGACGTAAGGTTATGGAAGTAGTAGTAGTAGTAATAGTAGTAATGCGTGGTCTATTCATAGTTGATTAGCCTGCTCACATTTGACTATGATTGGTTGATTTCTACGCCTACTCCTTAATCCACTGCTACTACCTATATTACAGACTACGTAGTAAGCGTGGTCTACAATGACAATAGTGGAGACGATGAGACTGTAACGAGTAAGAAAATGACCACTCACAGTGACTCACAGTCGATTATTCTTCTCACATTCGACTGTGATTGTGGTCTGCAATTTTCTACTCTTACAGCCTCATCCACTATTACTACACTGCCCATTGTAGACCAAGCGCATAAATATTGTATATATAATGTAAAATATATTAATCTACAATCTAATAAAATGTAAAGAGGTCGTAACTATAAGATTACGACAACCAATCAGATTCCATGCAGTTTCGATAACAGCAGTGCTGATTGTTCACCATGATAGATAGACAGAAAGTGTTTTTGCTGTTGTTACTGCTATTATATTATAAAGTCGAATTTATAAATTATTATGTGCCTGTTTAAAATTTAACAACACATAACAGTGCGGACGCGTGATAGATAAAAACTGAACCATCTTTTACAACACGCTTTTTACAATCGATAATAGCAAGTAAAATTGCGCTTTACAACATTTTACAATCACTTATGTTTACGTTTACGCAATTGTAGATTGAGCAATTGTGTAGATTTTAAATGTAAGAATCGACTATCAATACCACAGCTTTAGATTTTCTAAATTTTTTTTTAAATTATAGAATGAGAAATCTTAGAATATTTCGAAGTTCACATATTGCATGAAGAATTCTAAACAAGATGTCCGTTATTTTACACTAGAATTCTAATCAAAATGTAGACTTTTTCAGCTTTTCTGAAGTGTTCCAATTTGTATTAAAAAAATCTAATAATAAGAAATTTAGGTATAAAGAAAAGTTATAAAAGTATATACAGAAATTTTGAAAAATTGAGAAATTTATATAGAAATTCCGAAAAATTATGTGAAGAAAACTGGAAATTATATGTGATATCAGGCGAAATTTCCTAATTTTAAATTGTAATTGAATTAAGTAAATAAAAGGAAATTATAATTACATTAGGTAGGTAAAGAATAAATAAAAAGTGTTAGTAATAAGGATGATAAAAGAGAGAGGGACCTTTTTCTCGCTCACTTTTGTTTCGCGATAAAATATATTCATATTATTTTTTGACAATACATTTTAATATATCGTGAGTGATGGCTAAAATCATTCGAATGTTAAGCTAAATAATATTTCTTTGTAAAATAATAGAAAGATTGTAACTAGAAATTTTCGCTTAACACTTACCCAAAAGGTGAATTTGCACCATGATAGTTTATTCTCGTCATAATCATAATCCATAGCATTTTCATACATATCCAAGACACGATCCTTCCCGCCGGTAGATTTGTTATTGTTATTCTTTCTTCTATGATTTAATTTCTTATTAGTATCG